TAAAGTGTCCACTTACATATTCGGTTACTAATTTTTATTTGTTTAAACAAAATTACTTTGTTACAATATAATATTCTAATACCAAAAAAAGTACTTGCGTGGCGTGAAAATATCTTTTGTGATGTAACTCTTTCAAAAGTACATAAAAATGGTTGCCATCAGGGGTGTACATGTAGATTTATTAAATACACCTTGTGTGCCACCTAGGAACCAAATCTATAACCCGACACTCGAAATTTTTGCTCTGTTACAATCGTACCCTGTTACAATTGACCCCACTCTCCCCTATAGATTAAGAGTTTGTATGTTTAGTGTTAATTAAAATGATTCATTTGAGAATGATTCATTGAAATTAAATTAGACCGACTGAAAAATTAAACTTTTTACGGGATCAAAAATCACGTTAAAGTTCATTTTTTAAAATAATTCTAATAAGAAATTCTCTGAGGTCGTACTACATCTCGTTTTAAATCGCAATGTGAAATGTCAGAGTTCTACGCCATGCTTATTTTAATCATCATCCATCATTGTCTCCCTAATTTTCAACCGCCGGAAAGAAAAATCTTTAGAATTACAGTTTTTCTTTTGACTGTTACATCAGTCTTGTTCTTCGGAATGCATTGCGAATGAATCACAACAAATCCCGTTAGTTGAGAGTGTCCTCAGAATATTGAGAGAAGGGAAGGATTTGAGGGGTTGTTTCGACGATGGAAAATAATTCTTTTGGGAACGGGAGAGAGAAACATGGTTTGGGCGTTCATCTCATTAAAGAGACTCAATTATAGGAGCCTCTTCTTTCTAACAGGACAAGAGAAGGAGACGGTGATCGATATTTGATGCCCCTTCTCTTTATTCCAAATTACGTGGGATCATTTAAACATTCATTTCGATTCCTTTTCGTCCCTTTCCCCCCCTTTTTTTTATCCGAGTCATTTATGTTGTCGATATGTTTTGGAACAAAAATTTTTTAAGCTATCGACATTCGAAACCAAAGATTCTTATTTATTCGTGTTTTATTTTATAACGGATGTTGAACTATTGGCCCATTTTTGGGTTTACGTCCTGTGATTTTAAACTCAACCCGAAAGACGACTCCTGGACCAAGCATTGGGATAAACTAATCTTCGTGGAAGACTTTTTGATGGAACTAACTCTTATTTGCGTTACATGGAGAGGAAAACCACGAAAATCTTCTAAGGTTAATCCGACGTCATAGGGACTATAACCTATGTTCCGTCTACCAACAAGAATATTTTCGTATCAGCACTAGTGCTGGTCAGAACTGGGTGCAGAGTTCGTAGCGACCAGCCATTGTTGGGATCGAACCCGGGTGGCCACGATGGGATTCGATCGCACCATCCCGTGAGCCACCCTGCCTCGATTTATATATATATAAATCGATACACATCTCAAATCATTATGTTTTAACAGTATCGGTGATTGGNCACCGTCCCGTGAGCCACCCTGCCTCGATTTATATATATATATAAATCGATATACATATCATATCATTATGTTTTAACAGTATCGGTGATCCAAGTGTCATTTTATATATATATATATATATATACTGTTAAAACATAATGATATGATATGTATATCGATCACCCATGATAAATATAAGAATGAAGGAAAATAAACCATGAATATTACAGACCACACATTATTATAGAAGTCTAGTAGAGCAATAGGGCCAGGGTAGCTTGGTTGGCTAGGTGCTGGACTCAGGTCCGTGAGAACGGGAGTTCGAATCCCAGTTGGACGAAGACTCCCCGTGAAGTAAGTGGTGGCCAGTGCACGTTAAATATATCTGTTCACAAAGTCCTCCATGTTCCCATAACAAATTATACCTCTGGAAGTACTGAATTGGAGATTGATCGTTCTCTGGTTATGGATGTATGAATGGGTCAGCCCTATAAACGGGTGTGACAGGAGTCGAACTCTCGGCCATAGATGGCGCCACTGGAAAACAAGAACAATTGCACCCTTTACCTTAATGGCCTACGACGACAACAGTAGAGCAATAGAGGAATTAAAATCATCCAACCCCGTTTGTTTGCCTAGTACAATAAGAACTGGAATGGATGGAATCCCTAAAAAATGTCACTCTTAAATGTACTGGTTTAACCTGAAAGACAAGGGTCGTATAATGATGAGCCACAATTCCAAATTGTTCAGATGAGAGTGCTTTTGGGTTATAAAGCAATTATTAATGTAAGCAACAAGATATTTGTCTGTAGTGTGCAGTTATCAAAGTTTTGAAAAAACACCTATCGGGAAATAAGACTGAGTAACAGCTTGATGTAAAATATGCCAACTTTAGGAAAAAGTATAATTAATCCATACCCTCCTTCTTACGATTCCTTTTTGACTTTTTTAGTCTATTCTGAAAGCAACTTCGACGAATTATTCATTAAAGTGATTTTAAATCCTTTTAAAAAAGATACACTGATCAGTGAAAGGACTGTTCCTCGTCTGTCTATCCTTTATCATTTTGAAATCATTTATATGTTTGTAATGATTCGTTATTTAAATAAATAAATAATAAAAAAAAGTTACTGTTTTGAATGATATTTTAAGCAATTTTACATCTGACATTTTTCACTTTTACCTCCTGTTGAAAACAACATTACAATATATTTTCTTTTTAAATCCGTCTAATGCTGTTTTTGTTGTCTAGAAATGTAAGTTGCTATTTCAAGGAAAAAAAGCTAAGCTCTTCCTTTACTGTTATCTGGACTAGTTGGTCTAAAGATATTTTTTTAAATGATCTGTCGTACAGTATGGCTTTTTTTTCTTCTTCTTCGTCGAAATGATTAGGCAATAATAGCACAGATTTAGCAAATAATTTTAAGTTTTTTCAATTGAATTTATTTGTTTCGAGAGTCGGTTGGTTTCGGGGATGGAATATTTGCCACCAATGAGATGACACAGGTTCTAATCTCAGCAAATGTTGGACGATTAGTTTTGTTCTTTTCGCTTGCACCGACCTCAGTGCTGTCTCCTGCCGTCGAACTCCCCCCTGGGAGGTTTTCGAGGTTTCCGTGTAACGCAAAAAGGGTTGCTTTCATCAAAGCGTCTTCCACGGTAGTTAGTTTGCCTTGATGTAGAAGTTCCCTTGTCTTCTGGGTTGGGCTCAAAATTACAAAGCTATAAAGTTAAATATTGATTGTCGTCAACCCAAAATAAGATCGGCTGTTCAGGGCCGATTATAAAATTGGAAAAACTTTCTCATAGCGAATAGAATCTTAGTGAATATTTAAAAATTGTTGAGCAATAAACTTTGTTATGAGTGATTTTAACGAGCCCTGATGACTCAAGGGATAGAGCGTTCGCCTTCCAATGAGGTGAACAGGGATTGAATCCCAGCGATGGCAGGTCGATTAGAATGCCGCATCCGGCTTGCATCGACCACAGTACTGACTTAAAATATTCTCAGTGGATCATGGGTTTGAGTCACTTCGCGGTCAGGCTAACCGTGGGAGGGTTTCGTGGTTTTCCTCTGCATGCAACGCAAATGCTGGTCGAAAAGTCCCCCACGAAGGCGCAATTTTCTCCCATTACTTGATCCAGGAGTTCCCTTGTCTTCTGAACTGGGTTCAAAATTACAAGGCTACGGATTTGAACATTATTAGTCATAAACTCAAAAAATCGAAATCTATGATTTTAATAAAAAGATAGTCATAATTGTTTGTTGTATTGAATTTAACAAAATAATAATTAGTATTTTAAAATGATAAATTATATGTTAGGTAACATACTGGTTAGCGAAAAATAAAATGGTAATCATTAATAAGTAGTTCTGTACTGTGAATAGATATATTTTATCTAAAACATCCTTTACTAATTTGTTGAGTGTGATATCCCTTCTGTAAACACAAACATGTGGAAGTTCCTTCCTCAATTTTTTTTTAATAAATAATTTTTAAAATAAATCTTTTTTTTTATTCTTCTGACACCCACATAATAAGTGAAAGACGATGATTGAAGTGATTGCAAACTAATGTTTATTTGTATTTCGGTTACTATAGTAACTAGGCGTGGTCCCTTTAAATCTTTCGTCACACAAGAAGAAAAGAAGAATTTTTTTTCGTCGGAAACATTCATTGAGGAAATTAGTCTTATTATTATTTTAATAAAAAAGTTGCTCTGAAAATACATTAATAAATAAGACTTTTAGTAGTATCCAAAGATTAAATACACACGCACACTTTTTTTTTTAACTAAAAGAAGAATAAATAAACTCCTGTCAGCCATAGTTTCATGTTACTAATTGGTTAAGAGAATTTCTGCAAAATTCAATCTTATTGTGTTTCTAATAAAGAAAACTAAATAAATTGATCTCAGGTATGATTTAATGTTGCAAAGTGAATAAGAAAATTTCAAATTATATCCAATATGCTTATTCTTAGATGATTTAATGTTGCAAATTGAATTAAATTTCAAATTATGTCCATTACACTAATTCTTTTATGATTTAATGTTGCAAATTGAATAAAAATAAATTGTCTTAAATATAGAAGAATTAATACATTCCTCTCAACCATGGTTTCACGTGGATAATTGAATAAAGGAACTTTTCTATTATCCAATAGACACCCCTTTTCTTTTCGCATTATGAGTAGAAAATGAATTCTCATCCATTGTTTGAAGTTAGCAATAGAATAAAAAAGTTCCTGTAGTACCTAATACACACTCTCTTTCTTTCGCATAATGAGAAATAAAAGAATTCCACTTCAATGTTTTATGTTGGCAATTAAATATGAGACAATTAAATGAAGGAATAATATCCAATATAAACAAAATTTTAAGGAAAAAAAATAAACTTTTGCATAGAAAATTAATTTACAAATAAACGAATAAAACAAAAATCGGAACATGTTATCAACTACGATATATATGTATTGATTATTTTGTTCGTTTTCATTTGTCGAAAATGTAGTAAATGTAAGAAGTAATGAAATGTTATTCAGTGCTTACATATTGTTTTCTATTTTTAGGACCACCTGGAAAAAGGGGAAAGAGGGGAAGAAAAGGAGAGTCAGGAGATGTTGGCCCACCGGTAAGCATTGTCACAATTGGAGAAGAAACCTAAACAAATAATCAGTTAAAAAATTCCAATTTAAAAGAACTGTTTTCATTGCGCGGAAAAGGTGATTTAACGGCACTTAAAATCAATCCATATGGGAGAGATTTGGGTGAATTAATGTATTTAAACTAAGAAAGTTACGATATTTTATTGCTAACAAAATAGCACTCGACTCTAATAGAGTATAAAGAACATTTATTAATTTTTTTTAAAAAATGACTGTTAAATACGCGCTAATTATTTATTGTTAAAGCTTTTTTTTTAACTTGATAATAAAAGAAATTTCTTCAGTAAATTTAATTTTGATTTTTCAATAATTCAACTTCCCTAAATTGAACGCTGATACATAGTTTTTGCTATTTGAAAAGTATTTTTGTAATGGGAACTAAATGAAATCACAAATTAGAAGAATATAATGTAGCTGTTACAGTGAATGACCGAATGTCGACTTTCACCGGTGAATGTCAACAATCACGTAGTTGCTTTGGTGAATTTCCGAAATATTTGTTATATCCGATTTATTCGTTGATATTCGTTATTTTGATATCTTATCAGGATATATTAGGAGAAACATCAGTGTTCGGAGTACAGGGCGAAGGTATACCGGGCACTTAACTAGACCTAGTATATATTTCGGACATTTACCAAAGTAACTATGTGTTTGTCAACATCATCTGTGAAAGTCAACAACCACTCATTTCTGTTATTCACAGTAACATAACGATAATTTATAAGGCAGTAAGAAATAATTAATAAGACATAAGGATAATTAATAAGGCAATAAGAAAAAGATAATTTATCACCCAACCAACGTTGAGAGGTTTCGAAAAGATTACTCTGTGACGCACGCAATTGATTGGTAGCACAAAACTGTACGGACATTTCGGTGTTTAGCAGAGCACCAAGAGGCTTTCAGTTGAAATAATAGAGGAACTGAACAACGGGAAAACAGAAGTCTTTGGTCCATTATATGTCAGACGAATCTACAAAATAAGCACTTTTAGAATACCACTTCGCTGTTTTGTAGCAGAAACTTCCAGAGAATATTTTACTAATGAAATCTTTAGCTTAAGGGAGACCAAGCTATAAAAAAAAAAGTCAGTCCTACTCCTGTTGGTTTTTCAGACAAGACAACGAAAAAAACGGGTTGTTCGAGAAAAAAATTCGTTTCTTCTAATTGTAAACGAAAGGCGATATTTTATAGTGAATAAATATTTTATTGAATCGTATATTGTCAATTCTGGTTCAGTACCTTTTGCCACCTTTCAGTCAGTTTCACGCCCATAAAATCTTTGTTTTTTACTAGGAAACAACTGATCCACGTGATTTTTGGCCTCCTCATTTGAAGTAAAGGATTTACCACCGTTTAAATATTCTATGAAGATCCGAAAAAATATTAGATACACTCTCTGAATAATACGCTCTCTTAAATAATACTGGAGCCGTGGTTGCTCAGGAGACATTTCGCCTTCCAATATGGTAAACCGGGTTCGAATCCCAGTGATGGCTGGTCGATACGAATTTCACACCCGGTTCACAACGATCACAGTGCTGACAGAAAAAAGCCTCAGTCGTAAAAATCCTCAGTCGTTAGCTCCCTTGCGGTCAGGCTAACCATGGGAGGTTTTAGTTTTCTTCACCATATAATGCGAATGCGATTTAGTTCCATCAAAAAGTCCTCCACGAAGACACAATTTTGCCCAATAGTTGATCCAGGAGTTCTTTTGTCTTCTGGATTGGGTTCAAAATTATAAGGCTACGGAGTTGAATATTGGTAGACCCAAAATTGGGTCGGCTGTTCAATGACGGTTATAAAATATCACAGACACCCCATTTAACGTCTTCAGTGATGCCCTTAAAAAATGAATAATTTTTTTGACGTTTGAGAATTAAATCACTTACGTCAAGGGTCGGCACAAATTTCATTTCATATGAATATGGGCAACCCATATATCGAGTGTAAGCCTTGAGCCTTTCAATTGATCATGAATGGTTGAATTCGATATATCTCAGCGACCTCACGAACTGTTATTTTCTGGTTTGGATAAATTAATGCCTTCATCGTGTCTCATCAGCTTCAACTGACGCGGTGCATCTTTCGGACATCTTAATTGCCAGAATGAAATTTTGCAAACCAGTTTTGGCAGTAACGTGCTGTCAATACATCGTTTTCATACACATCGGATAATTGTTTTTTCGTGCTTCAACAGCACTTTTACTTATTCGTCAGTTAAAAAGAAAAATATGACGAAAATGCTGCCTTTCACTTTCCATATTTGAAAGGTCCCGCAGTGGACTGATCGTTAAGACACGGTTCCCAGCAGATCACCGAAGTCAAGCGTCACTGGCTACGGTCAGTGTGCGGGTGGGTGACCACTTGGATCAGCCTGCGTAGGGACCGAGGGTGTGCGGTATGGGTCCTCGTTAAACTGTGCTACCGTAAAGTGCTCGACTTCGCACGCAGGTCGTCGGGCTGCCGAAGCGGGGGTGCCATCCCCTCCGCAGAGGATCAAAATTGTGATGGCATGTCTTCGGATCATCCTCCCAGACCGTCACCAATAGCCCATTGTGCAGCTCTAGTGCGACGTAAATTAACAACAACAAATCCATATTTGAAAGGGAACCAACCGAAAGCTATTTCGTAGAATCAATCAAGTTTTATTGTAAATTACCCTTGCTATATCAGCTGTCAAAATGTATAATGATTATGTAGCTTGAGTGTGAAGTTGGCAGCGAGAAAACATAATTAAGTTCTCTGTTGCTAAAAAATAACTATCATTCCTGACCTCGCTCGGTATAGAGCAACCACGTAATTGACGTATTCTCAACCACTGGTTTTCTACCAAGAACGAAAAGGGGGAAAAGAATTGTTTATTGGATTTACATATATTTGAAGGTTTGTGTGCTCAATTTAGGCTTATAAACCTTTATCAAATAGAAGGACAGATAGCACAATACAGAGAATTACAGCACGAAGATTTATCCATTGTAACGGCGGGATGAGAACCCGCTACCTTCACGCTTTGCACAGAAAAAGCAACCAAACGAACACTCGACAGTATTTCACCCACCACCCATTTTGCATAAAATCCATGCTAGCAGCGTATGCATAAAAACTAATAAAAATATAAGCTAATCCTTATGCATTAGAGTCTCATACGTCAATGAGTGTAAAAAAAAACAAGCATTAAAACTGACTTGGAAAAAAAACATGTGCTACTTTCTTAATTAGTGTTCAATAATAACTTTGAAGATATAGTTCTTCAAAGTTTAACGACGATAACTTTGAAGAAGCTCCTACAAAAAGTATAAACTAAAGGTCCAAAATGAAAACAAGCATCAAATTTTGATAAGTATCGTCAGTCGGGTGTACTGTTTTAAGTTTATTGATCGACCGAACCTTACTACTCACTAACTATAAAAAGATGAATTATTAAAAAGATGTTTGAAATGGCGCTCGCGGACGAATAACGAAAAAAAAAAGCTTCCCAGGTGCGCTCTATGAACCAAGGTGTGTTCTTGGTTGTCGAAGTAGCGGCCATCAAGAACACATAAGTGATAAATAGTGGGCGGGATAGCCTGGTTGGTAAGGTACTGGGCCCATGTACAAGAGGTCGTGGGTTCGATCCCCGCCGGCCGAAGACTCCCCGTGTAGTAAAATGGTGACTGATGCAAATTAAATCTGTCTAGTCTCAAAGTCCTCCGTGTTCCCATAAGAAATCAAACTTCTGGTGGTACTGATCCCGGAGTTTCCTCGTATTCTGGATTGGTTCAAAATTACAAGGCTACGGAGTTGAACACTAGTAGTCATGTGCCTCAAAAATTGGGTCAGCTATTCAACGACGGTTATAAAAAAATTATAAAATCAAGTACACAGGGGATAGAGGACTCGCCTCTTAATGAGGTGACCCTAGGTTCGATGCCAGCAATGGCTGGTCAATTCAAACTTTACTTCTGGCTTGTACTGGCAACTGTTCTGATGTAAAATATCCTCAGAGGTTAAAAACCCCTAGCCGCCAAGCTAATCATGGGAGTTTTTCGTAGTTTTCCTCATCATGTAACGCTAACGTGGGTTAGTTCCATTAAAAAGCCTTTCACGAAGGCTAGTTTGTCCCAATGCTTGATCCATGAGTTCCCTTGTCTTCAGAATTAGGAGCAAAATCACAAGGTTACGGAGGTGGACATTGATGGTCGTAAACTCAGAATTTGGTTGGCTCTTCAATGCTGGTTATAAGATATTTAAAAAAAAATTCGCTGTAAGAAATCTTTCGGTGTGTCCTCAAGTATGAAGAATATGCCTGACTGCACTGCAAATGGCTCACACTTTGCAGCACACCTACTCACACTTTACGCGGTTTCTTGCGAAGAGATTAGAAGAGATTAACCGCTTAGTTTAGGTAGAACAAATCTTAACTGACCTTTCGTCTACTCTAGCTTTCTTTCTCCGTGATTTCTAACGTCCCGCAGTGGACTGATCGTTAAGACACGGTTCCCAGCAGATCACCGAAGTCAAGCATCACTGGCTACGGTCAGTGTGCGGGTGGGTGACCACTTGGATCAGTCTGCGTAGGGACCGAGGGTGTGCGGTATTGGTCCTCGTTAAACTGTGCTACCGTAAAGTGCTCGACTTCGCGCGCAGGTCGTCGGGCTACCGAAGCGGGGGTGCCATCCCCTCCGCAGAGGATCAAAATTGTGAGGATTCGTGAGAAGCTCATCATCAGGGATGTTTCCCAGACCGTCGCCAATAGCCCATTGTGCAGCTCTAGTGCGACGTAAATTAACAACAACAACCGTGATTTCTAACTTCTCAACGTAAGTATGAGTATCTATGGTAACCTTTTACCTCTTGATGTCTTTTATCACTCCTTTTAATTTGTCGAAATTTGGACCACTCTTTCGAATTTGCAACAACCTGTGTGATTAAATTATACTCGTAGCCAATAACACAAAAAATACATATTGATTTTAGAATTGAATATCAAAGTATAAATGTTGCTATAATTTTGAAATATATCATAGAAAGAAAGATGCTGCCAGGCAGCTATCTAAATAAATCTTCCATAGTTTAATTTTTAAAACACGAGAAATGTAGTTTTTCCTTTCCAAATCTAGATCAATATTTTATAAATCTTTTTTGCCACCTTCTTTCTTTAAGTAAGCAAGATAAATATTTTCTTTCAGTAGTTTATTTAAATCTAACTTATCTAAAGGTATTTTAACATTTTATTTTAGGATGTTCTATTACATTTTGTTATAAGATGTGACATAAAATGTGTTGTTATTTTACAGGGACCAGTAGGCCCTCCAGGAAAACCAGGATTTCCGGTGAGTAATCTTAGATAGATTGGCTATTGAGCCATTATTTTTTAAAGTGGAATTTGAAGCTAACATTTTATTTGTTTTTAATAATCATTATTGCATTTCAAAGCTTATCATACAGACGCCTAAATTGATTAACCGTTGCCCAATTCATTCAAACGCTAACGTTTAAACTTCTCGGTAAAAAAATTGGACTTATTCTACTTTCTAAAATAACCACACAATTGTTTCTCTTATTGTTTTTACTATTTAAAATTTTTTATAATTTCCTTTAACAAACAGACTTAATTGAATATGAGTTCAGAGAAAAATTCAAATAAACAAATATTCATCTCCAAGAGGATATGTCCTGTCTGTGTTATTAAAAATAGAAATATGCAATAAATTTTGAAAAGTAAACATAAAAAAGAAGAAACATAGTGAAAATTAAGAATCATGAAATATTTATATGCATAATGCACACACAACCTATTTATAATATATATATATATATGCATACAATGATTAAAGAATATATTTATTTTTATAGAAAATCTTTTATTAACTTAGCGTTATTACATTTTGTAATTTTAACTTTATTAATTTAGAAATTACTCTTTAAGTTTTGACACCACTTTTTACTTTTTTAAAAATTGAAACTAGAATGTTAATACAGTAAAAAAAAAATTCCGCAATTTAACTGAAAAATGATGAAGAATTATTCTTAAGGGTCCCCATAATAACAGTCACTCCATGTGTCAACTTTAATGTAGTTTTAAATTTGATAACAATTTAAATTTACGCTACTTTGAACTTTTTTTTAAATTCTATCTGAGGAATATATTCTTTATTAAATATTTTTTGCTTCATTTATATCTGTAAATAATAGAGAAATAATTAATTGCCAATATCTAAAAAATAAAATATGTTTAATACCAAGAGACAGAAATTTTTTATTTATTTACATACACATTTTTTAAATTTAGAAATTAATCTTTAAATTTTGACTTCACTTTTTACTTTTTTAAGCCTTGAAGTACTTTCTGTGCTGAAATGAACATTTTTGAAAATAAAATTTATTATTAAATTTATATCTGCAATATTTTTGTTACGATCATAATTGAACAACAATACTGTCGATTATAAATTCATACTAAGTAATTTTAAAAGTATAGATATGATTTTGAGACTGCAATGAAACAGGCAACACGTTAAATAGTTTCAAAGTTAAGTGAAAAAAAATTTGCCAAACATTTCTCTGATAAAACGAAGAATTTCATAAATTTTATTCGGACTTCTATTAGATATATTCTGTTTAAAATTGAAGATAGTTTTGTGTTAGTACAAAGAAAAATAAAACTTAAAAAACGGAAACATGCATAGTAGTAGAGTAAGTAAATTAGCGTTTCTAAAATAAAAGTGCTTTGATGCTTTTGTTTTGAAATCATAACCCTAGAATATTGTGCCATAATTTATTAATGAATAAAACCAAGAATAGTATAATCTCAAAATCCTTGTGCATTATATTTCAGAGATGGTAAAACTTTATTAAAACAAAGCGTAGTTTTTTTACTAATTCATTCACATTGGAGTCAATATACAAACCTAATATTTTTGACTGGTTCTAACATGTGACATTGTTACTTTTGTTGCTTCAAAAGGTTGAAATGAATTTAATGAAATAAATCTCATAATTTGTTAAACTGAGAAATAAATTTTGTTTTGTTTAAATTTAAAAAGAGTTCATGAACCATTTTGCAATTTCTACTGATTCAATTTGAAAATTGATTTCGTTAAAATCGGAACTTGAATATAATAAAACAAAATCATCAGCATAGGTTATAATTTTACCCTGTATTTTGAGTTCGCAAAAGCCATTAATAAATATAATAAATAATAAAAATCCTAAAATATATCCTTGCGGAACACCACGATTTGAAAAAATGTAATTACTAAATTTATTTCGAATTTGTCCTCTAAATGTGGCATAAACCATTAAATACTCCGAAACCAACATGTTCTTTTTTATTTATTAGATAACTTTGATTAACCTTATCAAATGTTTTAGATGTGTCAAGGAAAATAGCTACAGTTTTCTTGTGTAAATACTACCATAAATAAGTCTTGAAAATTTAAAAAGTGTTTTTTTCTGTACATCTATCTCCAATAAATCTGCACTGATTCTCAGAGAAAAATTTCTTATGTTTTAAATAATTGTACGTTTTATTAGTTAGAGCTTTTTCAAAGATTTTTTAGAAGACTTAATGTTGAAATAGGTCTATAATTTGATTGCCATCATATTTGAAAATGTGAGTTGCTGTTTTAAAGAATTTGGAAATATATTAATTGAAGTGGTTGGGAAATTAGTAATAAAATTGACATAGTGAATTTAATCTTATATTAAAATGATCATAATCATAGGAACTATTATTAGAAAACGAATTTATTATGTAGAGAAAATCTTTTTCTGTGATTTTTGGGAAGACTCAATCTTGAAATAGGTCTATAATTTGACTGTCACCTGATTTGAAAATAGGTGTTATTGTTGCTCCTTTTAAAGAATTTGGAAATGTATTATTTGAAATGGTTTTGAAATTAGTAATAAAATTGACATTATTAAGAGTGAATTTAATTTTATATTAACACAGTTATAATCATAGAAGCTATTATTAGAAAATGAATTTATTGTGTCCAGTTCATCAAAATTATTTAATTTAAGGAAAACAAAAGAGGTTAAATTTAACAAATTATAAATTTAGAAATTGCTAGTAATCAGTCTTACGAATGTTTCATTAAATTGACCCAAGAAACCGAAGTCGCTTATAGTTTCAGTCAAAACAGAATATTTATTTTTATCATAAATAATATTTACTAGATTCCATTTTTGATGATTTGAATTGCAGTTCACGAAGTTGTCTTCAACGTATTCTAGTTTGCTGATTTAATGTCATTCTTCAATTCACTGATCGCGTCATTACATGCTGTTTTATAAATAATGTCCCAAGGATATTTTCTTATTTTTTAAAATCTGTTTTTCGCTTTCACGAATTAAAAAAAGAAATATTTTAGTTACCCAGGTTTTTTTTAGGTCATTTGTTCAATTTGAGTATTTGAAAGCATATTTATATTATTAAATTTAAAAAGAAAATTCTGATATTGTTTAAGCGAATCCTGAAAATTCCAGTTAAACTTGTAATTGGACAAATAATCATAAAATTTATTATAATTTATTGGCATTGTATTTGTAGTTTCGTTCGTTGTAATGTCTTCACCACTGTGTAGAATACATAGAATTGGATAATAATCAGTAATGTCATAAGTATTCTAGATGTAACTTAAAATTTGTTAGCTTTGACAAAAGTATAATCAATGCAAGTGAAACGTAAGCAATTTAAACTGGTTAGCTTCTCAATATAATTTTGAAAACAAATTGACTCAACAAGTTAATACACTGATGAGTATTTATATCATTATTCAAAATATCAATCAATTAATCTTTCTTGAGTACAACATTGAGATACTTTAAATGAGAGATAAATACATTTAGTTCAGCATTTAAAAAAATCATTAGTAAAATCTCGATATCGATAAATTGAGAGAAATAATAAATTTCATTTCTTAATATACAACCATATAGATTCAACTGAAATAAAGTGCATAGGTTACTGTAAATGACAGAAATAAGTGGTTGTTGACTTCCACCGGTGAATGTTGACAATCACATGGTCGCTTTGGTAAATGTCCGAAATATGTACAAGGTCTAGTTAACACTAGATTTCCTAAGGTGGTCATTTTGACTGCTTTTTAGCTGCTTTTTTTCATTTGCAAAAAAATGTACAAATAATGCATAAAATTTTTTTTTCCCAGTGAAGTAAATTTTTTATTGTTAATATTTACTAATAACTTGTTGTATGACTGTAAATAATATAAAAAATATTAAAAATTAATCAAACAAATCCCACAATGCAGTCATTTTGACTGCTTTTGGTCTTGCTTTTCAGTCTTTCTAGTGTTAAGTGCCCCCTGTCCGGTATACATTTTTTTACCGATAAGATATTATTTAAAAGGTTTCTTTTACGTAAATAATTATAATAAAGATAAAAAACGTTGCATTGTTGCCAATTTTACTGTTAGTATTCTCGTAAAGATAAAATATTATTTTGTTAAAATTGGTCGAGTATTTTTTTTAGCTATTATATATACTCATGAGTAACGATCTGTTTAAAAAATATCAATTATGTACATTTCTTACCAATTGAACCAATTTACCAATTGTCACCAATTAAAGTCACTTGCATTTTTTACAGGGTTTTTAAAAAAAGAGAATTTAGATTTCATTTACCGATGAAATATTATTTAAAAGGTTTCTTTTAAGTAAATAATAATAATAAAGAAAAAAACGTTGCATTGTTGCCACTTTTACTGTTAGTTACAAAATTCTCGTAAAGATAAAATATTATTTTGTTAAAATTGGTCGAGTATATTTTTTAGCTATTATATATACTCATGAGTAACGATCTGTGTTTAAAAAATATCAATTATGTACATTTATTACCAATTAAATCAATTTACAAACTGTCACCAATTAAGGTCACTTGCATTTTTTACAGGGTTTTTAAACAAAGAGAATTTAGATTTCATTTACCGATGAAATATTATTTAAAAGTTTTCTTTTACGTAAATAATAATAATAAAGAAAAAAACGTTGCATTGTTGCCAATTTTACTGTTAGTTACAAAATCCTCGTAAAGATAAATTATTATTTTGTTAAAATTGGTCGAGTATTTTTTTTAGTTATTATATATACTCATGAGTAACGATCTGTGTTAATTATGTACATTTTTTACCAATTAAACCAATTTTCCAATTGTCACCAATTAAAGTCACTTGCATTTTTTACAGGGTTTTTAAAAAAAGAGAATTTAGATTTCATTTACCGATGAAATATTATTTAAAAGTTTTCTTTTACGTAAATAATAATAATAAAGAAAAAAAACGTTGCATTGTTGCCAATTTTACTGTTAGTTACAAAATTCTCGTAAAGATAAAATATTATTTTGTTAAAATTGGTCGAGTATTTTTTTTTAGTTATACATTTCTGCGCACTCACGACATAACGACCTCGCATTAAAACTCCCTTTTTTTTTTACTCAGACGAGGAGGGTCATTATATCGACTATATAATCAAGAACCTTCAATTAGAGAAGGAAAAAAAAGGTGTAGAAGAAAACAAGCAATGAAAAAGGTGGTTTAATCAATAGGGTACAAGATAAGGTAGTAAAAGACCTGTGAGATTGGGTCAACCTAGGAGTGCAAAATGAAGAAATTAAAATACAACTGAATTTCCAAGGGAAAGAAAAGGGTTGCTAGAAAGGTTATTCTTTCAAAAACTAGAATTTTCTAAATTCTGAAATGATTTCTAAAAATATTAGTTTGTATATTTTATTGATTTTTCTTTTAAAGAATGATGAAATTCTTTATAGGGTGCTATTGGTATCGATGGTCCGAAAGGTGATCCAGTAAGTATATTTTTATATTTAATTTTTTTTTCCATTATGGTATCTAGTATTTTTCATTTGAGTTTTCAAAATTGTACAAGGGTGGTCAACTTGGCAGGTTTCACTGTACTACAATTTCTTTTTAAATCTAAAAGCAGTGAAGAAGTAAAAGCAAAAGCACATTTTCATTTGCTTACAGAATAAGGTTAACATTTTCTTTGGTTTTATGCAGATTTTTAAAGTGCTTAATCCAATCCCGAGTTAACTCGGGTATGTATATATTGCAAATATTTATTATCCGGAGTAAACTCGGGTATGTATGTATTGCAAATATTTATTATCTCGAGTAAACTCAGGTATGTATATATTGCAAATATTTATTATGCCGAGTAAACTCGGGTATGTATTGCAAATATTTATTATCCCGAGTAAACTCGGGTATGTATGTGTTGCAAATATTTATTATCTCGAAAAAACTCAGGTATGTATATATTGCAAATATTTATTATCCCGAGTAAACTCGGGTATGTATGTATTGCAAATATTTATTATCCCGAGTAAACTCGGGCACAACAGAATTCGTCAATACGTTTTGTTTCATCACGTTTTTATTCGGACGAAAGCAAAATAAAAAATAATAATAATCTGTTGTGATTGGAAGCTTGTCAATTTTCGTTTGGGAGTTTTGTATTTGTGGGACAGCAGACGTGTTTTATGCAATTGTATATACAATGGTTGATGGATTTACACAGAAAAAAGAGTAAAAAAATTGGCCTTCGCGAGCGAAAGTGAAAGTAATGCAGCTGATTTTTCAGATTATGAAGAATTGAACAAAGACTCATATTTAACTTTTTTTCATTTGCCCGAGATAATTTGTGATAGTACACTGATGGTAAATTAAATATTTTTGACACATAAAAAAATTAAAATTTCAACTTAGAACTTATGTTCTGTTTTAGNAATTATACAAAGACTCATATTTAACTTTTTTTCATTTGCCCGAGATAATTTGTGATAGTACACTGATGGTAAATTAAATATTTTTGACACATAAAAAAATTAAAATTTCAACTTATGTTTTGTTTCAGTTCCTTGTATTTATTAATGAAATAGAAAAAAAATATGTTGATTTTTTGCATTTTTTTCTTCAAAAAAATTGGTAAGGAAAGCAGTTAATAACACAAAATTAAGAATTGAAATTGTATATGTACTTTATTGTAAGCATGCAATTTTGGAGAATTTTGCAAATTAAGAAAGCAATAACTCAAATAATTCTTTTTGTGTAATTGCAACTTCAATCAATTGATTTGATAACTGAAATTGGACAGGTTCTTTATTTTTTAATTGAAAGCTTTAGTGAACTAAGCAAACAATGCTTTATAACTCAATTCTTTTTCTTTTTTTTAGGGTGAAAAAGGAGACAAAGGAGAGAAGGTATATAATATCTATATATAATAATAACATTGATAGTGTATTAAAAAAACTCTTTGATCTGAGAAGAATCAATTCATTTCTGTGATCTTTCTATTTATTTTCAGGGTGAAAGTGGAGGCGATTTTTTTACGACAACAAAAGTAAGATCTCTTGCATAATTTATCCTATGGTGTATTTTTAATCATTCTGTTTACCTAGTTTTTAAACCAGATACATACACTTTTAAATATAATGTATAAAACTTATGTTTTTAAAATTACACTGGATTAAAAAAAAAAAATCGGTTTCATAGGAGTTTTTAACAGACCGCTGTAATTGATTTCTCTCTACCATCTTAAGTTTTTATGCAGTGAATCTATTCCAGTGAATAATTAGCACCTCTAACTTAACTGCTAATGGTCGTAAGAAAGCGATAATACGTTTCAGTTGCTGTTGTCATAGGCCATTAAGGCAAGAGGTGCGATTATTCTTGTTTTCCAGTGGCGCCATCTAGGAACAAAAATTCGGCTTCTACCATACTCATGCATCAACCCGTTTTTAGGACGGACGCATGCGTACTTCCATTCATTCATTTACAGATACTAAATTTGACCTGAACCAGAGAACAATCAATCAGCAATTCATTACCTCCAGAGGGATAATTTGTAATTGGAACATGGAGGACTTTGAGAGCCACCGATTTAACGTGCACCAGTCACCATTTACTACACGGGGAGTCTTTGGTTGACTGGATTCGAACTCCTGTTCACACGAACGTGAGTCCAACACCCTACCAACCAGGCTATTCCGGCCTTACGTTTCAGTTTATGATGTAATGCATTAAGATCAAATGTTTTTTTTTGCTCCAAGTATTATTTTCAAAGCAGCAGATAAGTCTATATCTACATTACATTTACTATTAATTTGTGCATTCAGATAGAAAAGAGACTAAGCTAAAAATATCCTTTTGAAAAAAAAATCTGCAGCTTTCCGAACAAAACTCATTTCAGATTTGAAGTCCCTACATTCGAATCAGGTAAGATCAAGTACTTGTATAAAGGCAATTAAACATCCCTCCCCCCAGTTTATGTATGATTACGATTTAAACATATAATACAATTTCAGAGCGATTAAATTGTATAAAATTTTTGAACGCTATAAACCTTGATACAATTATTTTCCTCCGAAATAATTCTAAACTGTTTCGTTTTTAAAGTGAGATAAAGGAAATCATTTTAATCCATTTTTTAGTATAACTTACGCCTCAAGAAGAATCTTCATTTCAAAATGAAAATTTTTGTTCCATTTAACTCTAATTTATCAAAAGTTTAGGAAACACAGTGAAGCATTAGATTTCTTTGAGTTCGAATAAACTGAACAAATATTGCCATTACTTTAAGTGATAAAACTTTGGACAACTGATATTCAAGACAATATCAACCTTTTATTTCAAAATAAATATAATCTCCCGAGGAATAATTGCAATTAAACGAGTTATAATAATAATTCATTTACTGACTAACATACTAGAAAAAAATTCTAGATTCCCAAAAATATTATTTCAACTGTTTTATAGAGATAGTACACCAAACAAGTGATAAAATTCAATGCGTATAAGATTAATAATCAATTTATTAATCTTATCTAATAGTATTAAATAATTTTAAATTTTGTAAATAAAAGTTTTTTTTTTTAATTTGGTTTATTTAATTTAAAAAGTAATTCATAACAAAACTAATTAATATTAATTTTTATATAATGTTAACTTTTATATTATTTTATTTTATACTCATTCAAAAATTATGTAAATTAAAAATATTCTTTATTAATATACATTTAATATATTAAATAATATACTGTACTAAGTACTCTTTAATTTATACTAATTAAATATATGGAATCAATTGCTTCCATATATAATAAATCCTATGCTTTTTCAATGTTTGATGCTCTCTTAAATAGTTTATTAATTCATATGACTATACCCAGGAAATACAATTTTGTTTTTTATTTGATAATAATACAAATTATTATTAAGTATAGGTTTATTTATTTAATTATTACGAATTTTATCAATTTATTTAAACATATTTAATTCTTATTGAATAATATTAATAATAATAATATTAAAATTATCTATATTAAATACATTTATATTATATATAAGCTGAATTTAAAATTATTAATTTATTCTAGTTCTTACATTCACACATAGATAGCGTCACTAGAGTCACAAATATACGTGCATATGATAACTACTATCTTTTGTTTTTTCTTTTTGTGTAGTTTGTGAACTTTTGAAAATAGAATATAATTTATTACTCTTAAAAAGAAAATAACAGCTTTGTTTAAAAGAATTGATAAGATTTAAAACTTACACTCATTTTTCTGAAAAATTTAAGACCAAGTCAAACTTTCTTTCAAAATTTTGTTTAAACATACGAAAACATATTTTTATAATGCTAAAGATTGCTTTGGCGTAAAAAAAACACATAAAAAATATATTTTTAAAAAATATAAATGCAGGCAATATTATAATACCAAATAATCTTTTTAAAAATGCTGATTGTGGAATTCTATTAATGCAATTTTGTCAGAAATAACCCGTGGAAGTTTTGGAATACTGTCCAATATTTTTCAACTAATGTTAATTTCGCCATGTTTTAGGTTGAATCATTGCAAACTAGCCCGTGATACATGCTTTTTAGTCACATAATTTTGAAATATAATTTCTTTTTCTTTGGTCATTCTCTATATTCTAAATCAGGGGTTTCCAACTTACATGAGGCCGGGGGGCCGCAATTAAAAAAACAAATCAAATGGCGGGCCTCAACTTCATAAAAAGTTTCTTTAGAACTCTTTTATGTTTGAAGGAACATTAAATATTATTGTCAGATTTTTACCAAGTTGTACAAAACAAAAGTATTGAATTACAAATTAAAATAAGAAGTAGATTTTTCAAAATATTTAATTGCATATTAAAAAATTTGGGCTACTATAACTTTAATATGTACACATGTATTAAGCAATAATGTGAAACAGATATCTAATTGTTAAGATATAAAACTTTAAGGTTGGTATTAAAACTTACATAGTAGTACACAAAATGTTCAGCGACAAATTTGAGGTTTGTCTGCTGCAACCACCACAGAATAGATATTTACATTTAAAATTTACAAATGTGTGTGCAAATATTTTTGTTCAAAATCAGTGGTTTCAAAAAGTTAAATCGGAGAATTTCTTCGAGAAAATTTCTGTTACATACATGTTAAATTATGTTCACAAAATCCCCCAAAAGTGAAGTAAAAAAGAGCAACATACACGATTATTTTTGTATTTGAATAAANAATATTATAATATCAAATAATCTTTTTAAAAATGCTGATTGTGGAATTCTATTAATGCAATTTTGTCAGAAATAATCCGTGGAAGTTTTGGAATACTGTCCAATATTTTTCAACTAATATCAATTTCGCCATGTTTTAGGTTGAATCATTGCAAACTAGCCCGTGATACATACTTTTTAGTTACATAATTTTGAAATGTAATTTCTTTTTCTTTGGTCATTTTCTATATTCTAAATAAACGTTCTAAAATCATAAATGTCAACGCATTGATTTCACTACCCCTGCAAAACTATTTCTCTGTAAAAAGAGTTTCAATGCAGCAAAACGGAAAAAAAGCCAATTTTTGGGGGGCAATTGTACATGCTTCAGTTCGTGACCATCTTGGATTTTAGATAAAAATTTTTTTGTTTCCTTGATGTTATTTGTCCTTAACACAATTCTTGTGATAGAATTTCATTCAATACCTTATATAAGCGACGTTATATTAAATTAGGAGAAGCATCGACGATAACTTGCAAAACTTTAACGTTTTTCTTTTTTTATTAATTAAATATTGAAATTCGGTAGTAAGGTGGTAATTTAATACTGGTTTCTTTTATTAACGTTTTAACTATGAAAATTATTTGTATAATACTGAAAAATACACTCAATGTAATTTATGCAAAAAGCAAAGATATTTTTTAGAAATCTAAGAACAGACAAAGATGTAATAACATCTTGGAAGATGCTGACTGCAGAATTGTAACATTTTGTCAGAAAAAATCTTTATCAGTTTCAGAATAATACCCGCTATATATTTACTGATGTCAATTTCAACATGCTTTGAGTTGAATCGTTGTAGCGTGTTAGTTTTTTTCCTTGCATAATTTACTTACGTAATTTTGTTAGCCAGCGTTTCCTATTAGTGCAGTTTAGGTAAACCCATTGATTGGTTGACTCTTTTTACCGGTAAAATTGCTTCTCTGTGCAAAGAAAGAGTTTCTATTTGTATTTTCGAAATTTGTAATCTAATTTTATCATCATATTAGTTAATAAACAGTCTAAATTAAGCATCAAAATATTTAATTTTATTTTATTATCCTATTAGTTGATAAACAGCCTAAATGAATCATCGAAATTTGTAATATAATTTTATTACGCTGTTAGTATATAAACAGCCTAAATTAAACATCGAAAAACCAATTTTTTTTCTCCAACCTTAATTGCACCTAATACTAACCTAGTTTTTATCATAAATGCTAGTGAAAAGAGTGAGATGATTTTGTACTGCTGAGCACCGAAAAACTTTTGAGATTTAAATTCTATTCAATTCTTCAATGATTCTCACAACCCTAATTATCTCTTTCGCATTTTATGCATAGAGTTGAAATATATATTTTTTAAAATGCCCCATTACTAGATCTAAAGCTGTGAAATAGAGGAATGCCCGATGTTCATATAATGAGTGTAAATAACCTTTTATAGGGTTACATAAAACGATCTCTCAACGAGGGAACATTTGAAAATGAAGTATCATCTGCAATGAAGGTACCGCCCCTTTTCTTTCTACCCCCCAACACACATGCACCATTTGCACTCACATCAATACACTCACCATTTTGCACTCACGCCCCTCACCTACACAGACTTTCTATCTGCATGTGCTTCACGAACGCACAACGGGAAAACTAATCTTTTATTTTATGATCCTCATTTCAAAAACGTATGTTAAATTTAACAAAATAAATTTTTTCACAATAAAAAAAATTTCTTTGTGCGAGTTTTAATTAAATTTTTATTTTCTTTGCACCTCCAGGACACTCTCTATTTTCTTTATTTAATTTTCCTTCACGTTTTTATTCTTGCAATGAACAACTTCTGTAATAAAATTCACTGAAATTGATAGATTTTTCATTGTTGTTTTTACTAATGATCGTTGGAGGTTATCATTTAATAATAAATAATGTATCATCTGGTAATAAATAATGTATCATCTAGTAATAATAAATTATATATAATCTGGTTATAAATATTGTATCATCTGGTTATAAATAATGTAACGTTAACAACTACTCCATACAGTCTCCATGAAACGATTTAAATCAAATTATTAAATTAAATGTTCTTAATTTTTTTTTTGTAAATAAAAAACATTGAATACAAATGTATGGAATTTTAACAGAGAGTTTTAGGTTTATAATAAAGGTAACTGTCTGTTTATTTTTGTAAATCAAAAAAGATTGAGTAAAAATGTATGCAGAAGTTTATCGGTTTTTTGTACAGATGAATGTTTATATTTGTAAATCAAAGAAGACTTAATAAAAATGTGTGGATTTTTACCTGAAATTTATAGGCTTCGGTAAAGATAAATGTTTGTAAATAAAATAATTATCTGATAAAAATGCATTTAGATAAAAAACGTATACAATTGATTAGGTTTTTTTGCAAAAATAAATGTTTATTTTTTATATTATGTGTTTAAGGCTTTTGGTGATCAAGTATGAAAACAGATTTTATTGTCATGCAGCGTTCAATGTTCGTTTTAAGCCCTTACCTGCACTATCTTGTAGATCTTTTCACGTCATACAGACAACAAAAAAATTTACTAAGCAGCTAAAAGAGTACTGTGATTTACACTTGAATAATTATGAGACTTTAATTTATGGGCTTCTTTTAAAATGAGCCTTATTACTGTTCAGGAATCTTGCAAAGACCGAAAAAACGGATTGTCTCAAGAAAAAATTATGTAGACCCAAGAAAAAATTATATACAGAACCTTTAAAAAAATGCATTCCGAATACAAGTTTCTTAGAGAATGTGTAGCTTTAAATAAAAAACTAATATTTTCCTGCATCTGAGAATATGGTAATTTAAAGATTTTCCAAAGGTTTTTAAATCGCACTTTAATTTCACAAGTTTTAGCATAAGTTTTATGCGAATTTGTTTTCATCATTAAAACTTTATATGTACTTACAGAAATTTTACAGATTTCAGGCAGGATTTCTTAAGTCCTATAAGACTTTCATTTTTCCTGCATATATTATAATAACTGCTTTTAAGTGTTTATTTTTTAATTTACCTTTGGTATAATTAAATGAAATAGAACCAGCTTACATGAAGAGGGAAAAGGGAGGGAGAAGTGGGAAATTTATTTGAAATGAAACTTGGTATATTAGTATTATGCCTTAAGAGTAATAAGACTCTTAGAGTAATAAAGCTCACTAGACCAACGAATCCGAGAAAAACGCATTTTACAGTTCAAGCCGCATTTATATAAGTGCTAGTTAAATCTTCCCTTTGATAACGGTATTGTTGTTCAGTGGCATGGAACCTACCTCCCAACCAAAAGCTTGAGGTTCGAATCGTACCGTGGGTTATTTTTCATTTGCCGTTCAAAGAGGAGAGCTTCTTTCTTCCCTGATTCCCTTTCTCTCTTTCCGACACGAGCTAAAACCTGCCTTAAATTATGACCCAACTTGAAATAGTTAAGCTTCGTAACCATAGTGAACGCCACTACTCCAGACGAATGGCTAGGGGAGTTCTTTACATAGCCAAACTATATGCTCAACTTTTCAAATTTGTTTTTTTTTTCTCGGAATTGATTGGCTAGTGCACTTTATTGTTTTTAGGGGTGATTATATTTACTGCTAATATACCATACCATTCTCAAGTGAATTTCCTAAGTCGTGCCCTCTCCTTGTTATAGGCCGTGTTTTTTTGTTTTTCTTAACTGTCTAAACTCTAGTTTTTTTCTAGCATTTGAACAACATTTTTAAATACAAATTACGCAGTATTTCGTCGGTCAGCATTTTATTTTGGGCACAACCAAAAAATACATGTTTTACAAAGCATCTGATTTCATTTTTCTTTTTAAGTAAGAGTTAACTAATATATTCAAATAAATTCCTAATGTCATCTAATTGACTAAATCTTTTGTACATTTTTTTAAATACTCTTTTTTGAGAAGTCAATAGTTGTTTTGCCAAGGTTGTCGCGGATCCTATAAATTTATAACAGTGGTTTTACAAATGTTCACTTTATCGCTTATTACTCTGAAGATATCACCTGAATAGATCTCAAACTACAAGACACTTATTGTTCGTAAAGTGTTTCAATTTGAGTTGAAAAAATGCATTTTGTGCTGTGCCCAGAATAAAAGTTTCAATTTATACGGATCGGGGAGTACAAGACACTTAGTGTTCGTAAAGTGTTTCAATTTGAGTTGAAAAAATGCATTTCGTGCTGTGCCCAGAATAAAAGTTTCAATTTATATGGATCGTTGAGTACAAGACACTTAGTGTTCGCAAAGTGTTTCAATTTGAGTTGAAAAAATGCATTTTGTGCTGTGCCCAGAATAAAAGTTTCAATTTATATGGATCGGGGAGTACAAGACACTTAGTGTTCGCAAAGTGTTTCAATTTGAGTTGAAAGAATGCATTTCGTGCTGTGCCCAGAATAAAAGTTTCAATTTATATGGATCGGGGAGTACAAGACACTTAGTGTTCGTAAAGGGTTTCAATTTGAGTTGAAAAAATGCATTTCGTGCTGTGCCCAAAATAAAAGTTTCAATTTATATGGATCGGGGAGTACCTACCACTCTCCATACAAAAATGCTCCGGATAATGGAAAACGGTAGGGAACCAAAGCTTTTTAAAATGGCATAACTGCAATAAATCACATAAAACTTCGAATTATTCAGGTGTGAATGTCAGTAAGACGAATCTAATGCATCAAATCTAGAATCGTACATTAAAAGAACTCGAAAATATTTATTCGCTATCCGGAAAAAGTCGGCATCTCTGTCAATAATATTTCTATCATATAATATCTCCCAAATTTTGATAATTCCATAAAAAACAAAATAGCATACGACGTCATCTGTTATTAGTGATTCGCTCATTTTATTTGACTACCGTAGATCACACCTAACGCACCCCATAAACTATAGCTTTTCCTTACCAAGAATTTTTTTTTCTAAATTTAAGGCAATCTATTTTTTTATTACCCCCACATGTACCAATAAAAAAATAGATTTTGTTGTAACAAGCATTTTCGGAAGAATGAAGAGATAGTCACGAAAATAAATGTGTTGCAACATTTTTTTACGACACTTTTTCAGCGTCTCGGAGTCAACAATGACCTCTGATGATTTTTTAATGACCTCTGGCGTTTAGATAAATTCAGAATGATTCTCCATTTTCTTATAAAGTATTCTTTTTTTAAATATTATTTTGGAAGATGATATCTCTGTGAATCTTTTTTTGATTAATGCATTTCTTTCAATCGAATCTGTGTGTTGCAAATATATTTTTTATTTAATATTGCAGGGCCTTGCTAGTTTAGGTATGACTCTAGCTCCTGGAGATTTGCTTTTATTAAAAGTGAGTGTTAGGTGATTTCTGTAAAGTTTCAAATGTTTTGAATAAAATTTAATATTTATTATATTATTATAAACTAATACCATTTACTCTACGCTATCCGGCCAAAAGTATCCGAACATTAGGTGGTATACCAATACATATTAATATGATGTTGATCCCCCTTTTGCATCGATGACAGTCTGCATACACGTCAGGGAAGACTTGTTTTTCCTATCAATATAGTTTTTGATAGGAATTGACTTTCATCACAGATGAAGTGAGGAGGATCTATTTGACTGGCTACGTAATCTGTTTTTAACATAAAAGAGTTTTGTGACATATCGTTAAAACTTTTATAATATAATTTACTTTAGGAATAAAATTTGAAAAAAAAAAAAGATGCTAAGACTGGCGCTCGATAAAAAGTCACAAAAATCATGTTATTGACCTGAAATAACTTTTAATCAGCAGTCAAATATGTTTTTATTTTCAACCAACTAGCTCAAAATTGAAAAATAAAAATTATTTTTAAAATGAAAAAGTTTAATTTTTGGGATTTTTGTAAAAAGAAAAAATCTGAATTAACTTCAGCATGATGATACAATTGAACTAATTGTCTTAACTGAATAGGTTTATTAGAAGAAGCCAGGTGAAAAAATTTGACTTGAGAAAAAGAGATTTAAAGACAAAACTTTAAACAAAATGCGTTAGTTGGTAGACGATTCCAATTTAGATAATAGTTGCGTTACTTTCCAGAGAGTCTGTTTTAGTATTTTTGCTGAAACTTAAGAAGTTATTTGTGTAATTTCAAGCATTTGGTGTCAAATCGCTCAAGATAAACAAGGTTATAGCACACATATGTTTCACAAAAACTCGAAAATTTTGTTAATAAAAACCCCCTAAGACTCCTTAAATAATTTTCCTTTAAAAGTACAGAGTGAAAAAATTTCCTTTAAAGTTTCAGAGTATTTTTTAACCACCAGAGAGTTAATGTTAATTTTATGAATCCTTTTCAAAAATGAAGTCAATACGGAACAAAGGATGTTCTGTAAGGACCCTATAAACTTCTCAATTGATGTAAACTATATACCCTATATAAACTTCTCAATTGATCTCCTAATTTGCTCTCGTTTTCCTAGGGTGAGCCTGGTGTTCCAGGACCACCTGGCCCTCCAGGTCCACCAGGGCCTACTGGATTACCTGGATTTGATGGGAGAGTTGGATTGCCCGGAGAACCAGTAACTATTACTTAAGCTTTTATAGAAAATGCTCTATTTGTCTTGCTCTCATACTATATGCACCGCAACACAGTAACTCGAGTTGTAATTGTTTCAGGGACCTCCCGGAGAACTTGGTTCCTCTGGTCCTCCTGGTCCTGTAGTAAGTATTATTTAGATGCACTCTCAGACATTTCAGCACAAATATCCCGCAATTATGCCACAACCTTAATAAGGTGTTACATTGAAGTTTGTTAATGTTCAAGGTTGTTATGCTTTATGAAGGTTAAAGAAGAGTAAATTGGATTATAACCTATACAAATCGGTTCAAACGTTGAATCATAATACCCCACTAATATGCCACAACCTTAGTCCCGCAGTGGACTGATCGTTAAGACACGGTTCCCAGCAGATCACCGAAGTCAAGCATCACTGGCTACGGTCAGTGTGCCGGTGGGTGACCACTTGGATCAGTTTGTGTAGGGACCGAGGGTGTGCGGTATGGGTCCTCGTTAAACTGTGCTACCGTAAAGTGCTCGACTTCGCGCGCAGTTCGTCGGGCTACTGAAGCGGGGGTGCCATCAAAATTGTGATGGCATGTCTTCGGATCATCCTCCGGGATGTTTCCCAGACCGTCGCCAATAGCCCATTGTGCAGCTCTAGTGCGACGTAAATTAACAACAACAGCCACAACCTTAATAAGGTTTCACATTGAAACGTGTTTATGTTCAATATTAATATGTTTAATGAAGGTTAAAAATAATGAATTGAATGATAACCAATACAAATCGGTTCAAGCGTTGAATCATAATATCCCGTAATTATGCTACAACCTTAATAAAGTGTCATATAGAAGGGTGTTTATCTTCAATGTTATCACGTTTAATAAAGGTTAAAGAAGATTAAATTGAATGATAACCGATTCAAATCATTTCAAACGTTAAATCATAATGTTGTGCAAGTAGGCTACAACTTAATATGTTAAATTGAAGCATGGTTCTGTTTAAGTTGAACCATACTATTATGTAAGCGGAAGTTTATTCAACGATAATAGAGCTCAACACAATTTACATTTTTTGATTGTCTCGTCGCTTTGTTGGTAAATGAATCAAACAAATTTATTTTTACTAACCATTAGCTGAATACCTGATTTTTGTACGGTGAAAAATAAATAATCAACGAATCAGTATTAACCCTTTCACGCCGACTGTCACAAATGCGTGACAGCATAAAACCGTATCAATCAGGGTAAAAATATAAAACTGGTAATCAAAGTATTTCTTTAGCAGTTTATTTGTGGGTGGAGTTATAATTGTCTGATTTATTTAATTCACCAATACTTAGTTCAAAATAAAACTATTTAGTTATACTTTGAATTAACATAGATTATATATATGATTAAACTAACAATAATTAAAGTAAAAGCAAAGTAAGTCTGTCAAATTAGAAACGACTACATTTAAGTTACCGTTTTTTATTTAATTACATCCTGATTCCGATTTTGTACGAATGCTTTTCTCAATCACTCGTCCCCAAGGGGTTAAGCAACATTTTGAAATCATACACAAAATTGGAAGGCATGCACCGACACAGTTTAAATAATTTAGAGTGATTCCAATTGCTTTTGATTATTATTATTTCCTCGTTTTCCGGTGAATTTACGTTATTAGATTTCTCAAAAAACGTTTTTAGAAGTTCTATTAATATTTCTATTAATATTAACTATATTTCTATTAATATTTTAAAAGTCTTAGTAGTGTTATCTCTACTTGGGTGTCTAACGCATCTTAACCTTTGGATGTTAATAAAACTAATTATGTTTTGGTGCATAATTCTATTTTTGTTCTTCTCCAAATTCTATTTACTTGAACGTCGAAAAATACTTCCAGCAGTTTTTTTTATTTTCAAAAATTGTCAGGTTATATAAGTAAGCATAATTTAAAACACGTCTAATTTATTAATTGTGATCTTGATTTTGTTTGACCTTAAATATTTCTTTTTTATTATTAAGGTAGTGAGGCTTTTTTTTAACGTAAGAAAAAGAAAGGCCTTCATTAAATTAATACAAATTGCGTTTCCTTTTTTTTAATTCGCGAAATGTTCTTTTTCTCAAGTAATATAATTTTTTTAAGGAAAAAGTAGATTCCTATTTAGGTAAAAATTTTATTTTAGTTATTTTTTATTAAATAATTGCAATTTTTTCTCCCGTATAAAAAACTAAATCTAATTAAATTTAATGAATGAATTAATATTTGGAGAAACTGTATTAACATCAAGTATCTTCCACTAAAAGTTTAAAAAAAATGTATTTGAACTCTTGAGTTGATGAATAAAGAGTATTTTATTAACGATTGAAAGTTTGAATAAGATACAGGATATTAAGAATTGAAAAAAAGGAACTGAACAATTCCTCACTATAAAATAAAACAAAACCAGTAAAATCACACTACGGAAGAATGAAATAGAAGGTGTATGATCTTTTTAAAAATATGGGATGGGTAAAATTTCATTTCATTTGATGTCTTAAAAGAGTGCGACTGAATAGTGTTTTTCTTTGTGCAGGGTCCGATGGGAAAGGACGGACTTCCAGGACCGAAGGTATTTTCTCCATTTTGATTATTTACTACTAATCCATAATTATTCTTTCATTTCACTTGATTATTTCATGAAGATACAAACCTCTTTTCAAAAAAAACTATCATTATTTATTCATTTTAACCTCTTGTCAAAAGAATTTATTATTAATTCCAATCCCTTGTAGACAGAATTTATGATTATGCTTCAATTTTCATCTATCTCATTTATTACAGCTGTAAACCGCTTGGCAAAGAACTCATCATTAATTTTTATTTTTATTTGCTATTTATTCAGCTTATTTACAGCTTATTTGCTATAGATAAAAACTTATCGTCGATCGAAACTAATTATTCGTTAAATTACAGTTACTATTAGTGATTACTAATCTTTTTGACGTCTTATTTGCTGTAGATAGTCAGTAGAATCCATTATAATTATTCATTCAACTGTCCAATAATCAATCCAATATAAAATGCAAAATGCAAATTCAACATATATCTTCATGAATATTGTTCTTGAGTCTAAGTAATAATTGAAATGGGTGTTTATAAAGTGCACATTTTGGCACTTATGATGCTATGGTGCTCGCTTTTTTTTTTCCTTTGAAAAAGAAAAAAAAAACTATTTATTTGTTTGATTTTAAAATATTTGAAATTTCTGTTGAAGGGTGAAAAAGGTGACAAAGGTGATCGAGGTCTTACAACAACTTTAGATGGCAATGCATTTCCCACTGGATTCATCGAAGGCCCTCCTGGTCCCCCTGGGCCTCCTGGCCCCGCTGGCCCTCCCGGAAGAAAGGTAGCGATATTATTTACCATGCATCAAAATAAAATTTTTTTTTTTTTTTGGAAAAAAATCTTTTGTCAAACTGTATATTATTTATTCTACTTTCCTCACAACAATGTATAAATTCTTTATTTGTAATTTTATATATATATATCTATATAAGTTCAAAATGAAGAATAAAACAAAGAAAAATTAAGGACATATGAAAAAGGGGGAAATAATAAGTAAAAAAAATAACAAACAACAGTTTAAAAAAAAAGAAGAAAAAAAAAGGATGAAATTTTATTTAAAAGACCGGGAAGAAAAAAAAGATATAATCTTTTCATCAGCCCACACGATTATATCCGTAAAACATAGTGCTTTCTGATATTGGTTTTTTTCCCCGGTCTTTTAAATAAAATTTCATCCTTTTTTTTTTTAAACTGTTTGTTATTTTTTTACTTATTATTTCCCCCTTTTTCATATATCTTTAATTTTTCTTTGTTTTATTCTTCATTTTGAACTTATCTAANATATATATATATATATATATATATATATATATATATATATATATATATATATATATATATATATATATATATATATATATATATATATATATATATATATATATATATATATATATATATATATATATATATATATATATATATATATATATATATATATATATATATATATATATATATATATATATATATATATATATATATATATATATATATATATATATATATATATATATATAATGATATATTTCATTTCTTTTTTCAACGAAACAGATTTTAATGCAAAGAGTGTGATCACATTCTGATGATGATATTAAGTTGTTGTCTTTAATTTTGGTCTCTGCAGCCGTTACAGTGAACTTTTTGTGACAGTTGTGCTTTATTTTGTTGCTTTTTTGTCACCCTCTGTTAGGTCCATTTGCTGATTTTAAAAGTAATTTTCACAGCACCTCATGCAATGACTTTTGAAAAAGTTTCCCTTACAAATCAATCTGACTGTTTTAATATGATAATTAAATTTCATAAATCAAACTACCTCTCAGGATAACACGATTCTCTCTAGTTGAACAAGGAGATAATCCGATTTTGTTTTTCTTCTGGGATTTCAGATTTTATTAGGATGAGCAATCAGGTGTAAAAAATGAGTGGATAATGTTTGCTTCTTGAGACAATTTAGTCAATTCAGATTCTAAGTGAATTCAAGTATCTAATTCACTGTATCACATGAAGATTATTTTTATTTTTGTTCCAAAAGCTGGTGAAGGCTATAAATTCCTAACTCACACTTAAATTGTTTGTGGCACAGCGTCCGCACTCTTGGCATTTCAATTTGTTGCCAAAAAAGAGAAGGGTTTTCGATGGTCAACTGCTTTTGTTGTTGTTGCCAAATGCACTAAATAATTTTTTTCACTTCCTCAAAGATAATCTCTTGCAATGCAACCTTTCATTTCTTATTCTTTTATATATTATTCATGGGCTACAAGCAATTTCAGCTTTGTATCATAATCTTTCAAATTCATTTAATAATTCATGCAAATTACTAAAAATCACCATAAATAGTATCGCAGTGAATCAACGCATTTCTTTTTTTTTAAGAGTAGTAACACAAGTTTAAGAGTTCCACACAAAATAAAAATGAATTTTTTATATTTCAGCTGTTATTGAAAAGATGAGTCAAGTGAAAAATAACCATGAAAAGACACTTTAATATTAGTGTTGGTTTCGAAACTAAACAGTCAAACATATTTGTTATTTGAAAACATTTATTAGCTTCAAAAGTTAAGAGGCAAAATCTGTTTTGAGCGTTCAAAACAAGGGTATTGATAATCAACGCTTTGTTTTGAGCTCTTGAAAAGCTCTCTTTCCTTTTGAAGCTGATAAAATTTTTTCTTTCGTTAATTGCATCATTCCTTTTATTGAGATTATTTTATAAACAGTCATAACAAACCAGTACTGAATTGGAAATGGATCTTTCTCTGGTTCAGTTCAGAATTACGATCTGTGGCTGAATAAATGGATGCATGAATTCTATGAATGAATCTGCCCTATAAACGGGCTGTGACGTGTGTGTGGCTGAAGTCGTTTTCTTGGCCATAGATTACGCCGTTGAAAAACAAGAAACACACCCACTGCCTTAAATTCGCTTGCTGGTATTTGGCAAGTGACATTAGAAACAACAACAATTTACTTAGCAGTTAAATATTTTTTTTTCGAATGCATTTTATTAAAATAAGTATTTATTATGCGTGTAGGGTGATGTCGGCATCCCCGGCCCACCTGGCGAACACGGAGACAAGGGTGATAAAGGCGAGCGGGGGCGTAGAGGAAAAAGGGTACTTTTCTCTCTCATTTGCTTGCTGCATGGAATGGCTCTGCTTCAAACAATCAACTAAGTTTCTTTGTTTCTAAAACAGTATTTATTTTCTTGTTTTCTTACACTAAGTTTCATTGCGTCTACAAAAATAAAACAAAGCATGCAGCTTTTCTATTTTAAGTTACATTGCTTCGAAAACAAAATAAAAGAAACCAATGTATAAATCTTTCTCCCGCAGTTAGTTTGGTGACGTCAAGTAAAATAAAACAATGTTTTTTTTTCTTTTCTCATTTCAAATTTTGTTTCCAAAATATATATTAAAAGAAACCAACGTATACTACTGCGTATACTATAAGTTTGGTGATGTCAAGTAAAATAAAGAAAAGCTTTTTTTTTTCCTTATTTCAAATTTAGTTTCAAAAATATAATAAAAGAAACCGACGTATAAATCTTTCTCCTATAGTTAGTTTGGTGACGTCAGGCGAAATAAAACAAACTTTTTTTCTTGCTTTCTTATTTTAAATTTCGTTGTTTCAAAAATATAATGAAGGAAGTCAACGTATACTATAAGTTTGGTGATGTCAAGTAAAATAAAGCAAAGCTTTTTCTTGTTTTTCTATTATAAGTTTCTTTGTTTCAAGACTAACATAAAAGGAACCAAAGCATGCTCTATTTCTTAGCTTGATCTCTTACAATAAGATTCATTGTGTCAAAACTAATGCAAAGGATATTAATCTAAAATTAAAAACTTGACGCGACAATTTTCTAGATTAACACTTTATCTATTAATATTCCGAAATAACATTCCCTGAGCCTTTTTTCACTCCCCCCTGTGCAAAACGATTCCTAAGACAGGGGTCTGTCCAGATATTTTGTGAAAGGTCCGTTTTTCGTGAAATTGTGAAAATATTACTCACATTCTTTCAACCAGGGTCCGCTTTTATGAATTTTTGCAAATAGGGTCCGTTATTGCAAAAAAAAAACCTTTTCAAGGAGTTTTTAAATTGTAAAGACATACATGATTATGCTCAACACTGTAAAATTATAATTAAAAAAATTAAATTTTAAAAAATAAACAATAATTTTACCTACTAAATTAGCGATGAAACATACAAATATTTGGTATTTAGCCTATACTGCTGAACGCAGAATATTCATTTCGGACGAATAATGGAAGAATCGTCTGCCGAAGACAAAACTTAATTCGTTTACATCCATCTTTCTTGTTTTCTGCCCTGGAAAGGGTTTATTCGATTAACAAAATAATAATGAAGATAAACAAATTTGTGAAGGGTCCGATTAAAAGAAAAATCATTTTGTGAAGGGTCCGTTTTTAAGTTAAAATATTTTGTGAAGGGTCCGTTTTTATGAAAAGATATTTTGTGAAGGGTCCGTTAACGGACCCAAATTTCTTCTAAACAGACCCCTGTAACTGTAAGATATTATTGAAATGGTAGTTATTGATTAATTGTTGTGGGGTAAATGTCATCATCTATGCTAAGATTTTTGTTTAATGCCACACATTGTATCTAATCATTAGACTTTAGAATTGTGTTTTAATTGTCTGACTAGACGTTAGAAAGTTTTGTCAACATTTTGAGAAAAGGTTTGGATGCATTGACGGACCTTTCATTAAAATTTTAACCGGAACCTTTGCGACATATTTTGTCTCAAAATCTAGCCCCTCAAAATTTTTTTCATTTTATAAATAAACCCTTTAAAAGTTTTCTTTTTCTTTTTAAAAAAAATGGAGTCGTTGATATCTTTAATGCCACGTTTTAAAACTACACCTCTTTGAAAGATATTACTTTTTCAAAAATTTTACTATAATCACAATTTTTATGCTGAATTATTATCTGTATGAAATTTCTTTAAATTGTAGACACAATATTAAAAACGCGCATTTCCAGATTTAAAAACAGAGGGATTGATAATTCAGTGAAAATGAGAAAAAATAAAATTTATAAAAGAGTAAAAAACAAGTTGGTCTTCGTGGTGGACTTTTTGATGGAGAACCCACATTAGCTTTACATGGAGAGGAAGACAACGACAACCTTCCATGGTTAGCCTGACGGCAAGGGGACTCTAACCCATGATCCACCTACCACGATATTTCACGTCAGCACTGTGGTTTGTGCAAACCGAATGCGAAATTTGTATCGACCAGTCATTGCCGGGATTCGAGCCCGGTTTTCCTCATCGGAAGGCGAACGCTCTATCCCCTGCACCATCGCGGCTCAAAAATAAACTGTATATTGAAAATAATACGAACTGTGTAGAAAATAAATCGAATGAACTGGGCAGCTCACATTTTCAGAAGGAATGATGACTCAAATTTAAAGAAAATTCTATTACGCAAACCCCTAACGAACAGGAAAAGAGGTAGACCCAGGCTGAGATNGAACTGGGCAGTTCACATTTTCAGAAGGAATGATGACTCAAATTTAAAGAAAATTCTATTACACAAACCCCTAAGGAACAGGAAGAGAGGTAGACCCAGGCTGAGATGGCTGGATTTAGTTGAGACTGATTTCCTTACTCTAAAGGAGAAAAAGTGGCAAACAAGTGTCAAAAGTAGAGAGAAGTGGATTCGAATTCAAAGGAAGGCATAGGCCCACCCTGGGCTGTCTAGCCAGATATGATGATGTAGAAAAGCATTTGAAAAACATTTTGAACTGTGTTGAAATTTAAAAAACTCTGCATCATGCAAAAAATTGCACAAGTTAATTTTACTACCCGTTTTTTTAAAAACAAATTTAATTTAAAAAAAATTCTAGTAGTAATTGTTGAATATTTTATTTTATAATCGATTATCCCAACAGAAAAGGATTCTATACCACTGAAAATATTTTATGTCAGCACGGTACTTTTTGCGAGTGTTTGTATTTTTGCTTGTTGCTGAACGACCATCTTGGGCTCAATATAAGAGGGTAATGAAAAGACAGGAATATGAAGAACGAAAACTTTCTCAATCTGATAGTTTTAAGCCGGAATAGGGCACTGGGCCCATGTCCAAGACTTCTTCGGTTTGATTCCATAACGGCCATAGACTCCCTGTGTAGTAAATGGTGACTGATGCACGTTAAATCTGTCGAGTCTCAAAGTNATGTTCCCATAACAAATCATACCTCTTGGGGTAATCATCCAGGAGTTTCCTTGTCTTCTGGATCAGTTCAAAATTACAAGGCTACGGAGTTAAACATTAGTAGTCGTAAACCCAAAATTGGGTCGGCTGTTCAACGATGGATATAAAATAAAAAATAAAACCTAATAGTTTTGAGCCGCGATGGCTGTTCCATACGAATCCGCATCCGGCTTGCACCTACCACAGTACTGACGTGAAATATCCTCAGTGGTAGATGGATCATAAGTTGAAGTCCCTTCGCCGTCAGGTTAAGTGTGGGAGGCTCTCGTAATCTTCCTCTCCATGTAACGCAAATGCGAGTTAGTTCCACCAAAAAGTCCTCCGCGAAGACAAATTTCTCCCAATACTTTATCCAGGAGTTCCCTTGTCTTCTGGATTGGATTCAAAATCACAAGACTACGGAGCTGAACATTAGTAGTCGTAAACCCAAAAATTGTGTCGGTTGTTCAGCGACGGTTATAAAATAAAATATAAAATCTAATAATTTTAGAATTATTATAAAGTTGCTGATAAATATAGATGCACAATTATGAAACCTTTTTTTTTTTTAAATTTATTTTCTTAATTTTATTGTTCATTATTCGAAAATGAGGAAATTTTCATCTGAGTATTCCGAAACAAAAAGATATTTTTAGTCTCATAACTTTAATATCGAAATATACTCGAAAATTTGTTTTTAAAATTTATGTAATTTTTTAGGAATAAGATTTGTTAAGATTAACATTAGGCATTTTTTAAGAAATTTTGTTAGATAGGGCACTAAAAAATGCTTGACTAAGAAAACTTTTTATTTATATCTTAAATAGTTGTTTGACATTCGAACTTTGAAAAGTTACTTATATTTTGAGAAACACTGTTACAAAATGGTGATTATTTTAATAATCTTTAAGCTGCAGCTAGACAACAGCCACTCTGAGTGTGGTGAGTAAAAGGTTAATATTTAAACATTTTAAAATCATTTTGCAGTGTGCCAGATAAATTGCTAAATAAAAGAAATTTATTATAATTATTAATTATTCAAAAATTGTCTGTTAAAGCGCAATCGATGTTAATTGGTCTATAACAGTTCAATTAGGATATAATTGCATTGAAACAACGCGTTCGATAATTTATCACATTTCAAAAGGATCTAATTTTAACTGGATTCTCATTTGCATTAACAAAATACATTAACTGAAAAAAAATAACAGAGTGGGACAGATAATCTATTAATGGGGAAATACTAATTTCCTATAATTTATATTTGAACTACTGCCTATTACAATAATTTTAACCCTCAATGCATTGACATCAGACTGACAGACGAAGAGCAATTATTTTACTTTAGTCTATATTCATATACAATATATAAGAATCTTTTTTATTTATATAAATGATAGGATATTTCCTTCAGGCTATCATGAATTTCCAGTAATATGAATGCCTCATACAGTCCAGCATTTAAATACACTCTATAACAGAAAAATCGACGCACCAAGAAGAAGTTGTCCGATTGAAACGAAAATTGGTGGATAGGAAGACAATGTACAGAATAGTAAATGATTAAAATTTCAGAACAATTGAATAACAAGTTCAATAAGGTGTTGACCCGCCTCTAGCCTGGATACAAGCTGCCACACGGCGTGGCATAGACCAATAAAGCTCCCGGATGGTCTCTTGCGGTTTTCCTGCCAAATTAGATCCAATTGTCAAACGAGGTCATGAACATTCCGTGCCAGATACAATCACCTTCCCATCATATCCCAGACATGCTCGATGGGAGAGAGATCTGGTGATCTGGCAGGCCAAGGAAGAGTTTGACAAGCTTGCAGACAGTTCATAGCAACATGTGCCGTATATGGTCCGGCATTGTCCTGTTGAAAAACCAGCCCAGG